CTTGCGAAGCACCTGTCACACCCACTCCTCCCTCACTCACCTTCCTTCGATGTCTTCGCGTGCTGCACGCGCCATGGTCTCCACAGTATGTGCCAGGGTCTCATGGCAGTGGGTTGAGTCTCACGTGAGTGAAAATGCCGTAAGGCTGTCTTGAGAGGGAGTGGCTGCAGCCTGAGTCCACTACACTTCTCTGAGTCCCAGCTAGGCCGGATTTCATGTCGTAGCCGTACCTGCAGTAGACAAGTCCCAACCCCCAACAGGTACGGCTACAAAATAGGATCTTGTCCCCAGAGTTATCCCGTCAACTAGCAGTAATCTAAGCTGCGACTCTTAACGCGCCAGATTTGTCATCATGTGAGGTACGCTGATTCGGCACGGAGATGCACTTCTCAGTGTCCACCTCCCTCTTTTTCCTTTCTCTTGCCCACATCCATCCTCCCTGGAGTGGTCTTTCCACTGGTGTGAAATGAGGGAGCGAGGTCCGTGCTGTTCACATCGCCATCATTGTGATCAAAAGCATGCACGAGGGAGCTGTACCATCGCTCCTGATGGTGGTGGTCTTCCTTTAAGTGTAGGTCTACCCTCCTCTACTTCGTAGTTTCCGTTTTTGTACCGCAACTGGCTACCTCCACGTCCGGACATTCACGTGTGCACTTCATCCGTCTGTCCTGGAGAAAGCGCTTGGGATAGGATGTTCGCTGGCCGTCTAAGGGTTCCTCAGTGGCAGCTGGGGTCTCACCGATCGCGCTACGAGGGTCACTCGTCCCGTTGTGTCTTGAGGCTCTCTAGCCCCGCCAGCAGCCGCGCAGCGGTGAATAATATAGGTAAAATGGCATTGTCGATAAAGACAAGGGAGGCTGGAATGTCCACTCCTGGGTTGTTAGCCATTGTCAGCCAGGCATACCCAACCCCGAGATGTGGGACGCCTGGCGCTTGATCCCGCGACCTGTTAGAAGTCCAATGCCCCTAACCACTGAGTCACAGGCTCTTTGTCCTGTCGGTTGCGACCGGGTTCTCAGTTTATTTTCACGGGTTGGAGTTTATCAAACAGGGTAGGAATTCCAATGAGGCATCAAATAAATTTGAAAGTCTTCGTAGCATTGTCCAAACATCTGAGCTTAACTAACCCAGAAGGCGAAAGTAATGTAGTAAACGATATTTCGTAGGGTTTTGTCCATTTCTTTCACTTCGGAAATGAGATTCTGTCGAATCGCCATGCGGCACAATGGAGGCCGACTGTCCTTGAGCCAACCAATCAGACTTTTCGTAATGTATATTAAGATGATTGGCGGAGAAGCCAATTGCCTGACCACGGGGACGCACCCAGATATAGGCCAAAACCGGGAAAGATTATTTCCATAGGATTATTTTATTCATTCGCAGGGCATAGCTGTACATGGGAGAAGTTAATGACGAGCGGGTGGAGGGGGG